GGGTAGTTTGAAGCTCAAAAATAAATCAATGTTTTAAAGACAACCATTCAATTTCAAATTGAATTATGTTCCTGAATTGAAAACTGTTGAACATTATTTTCAAAACTCTTTGTCTTGTTTCCTTTGAGCATTACACATCAAGATTATTTTCCCCAGTAATTTCACAATATTCCATTGAACACAAATTATATTACAACATTTTCCAAGGGCAGAGGAGTCTTTTAGTTCCTAGGGGTGACAAAGAACTAGAGCAGAGGTTTGAAATAATTACTCCAGGATTAAATGAAGCCCAAAGTTGAAATTATTTGGAATGGGTTTAGATTTTTTTAAATTAGTTACCAACATCTAAAAATTGGAAGCTTTAATATAAAAATATACAAATGGGAGTGGTGGTGTAGCTCACGGTAAAGACCTTGCCTAGATGAGAAAGGCCATAATTTCAATCCCCAATACACACAAAAAGAGATGTAGGGACTTTTGAAAAGTGTTAAATGCACTGAGAATGCCAACAAGCAGGTACCTGAGTGACGGCTACCTTCATAGAGGGTTCTAAGTTCCCTGATTCTCACACGCCATTGTGACTTTCCTTACGAGCACTACTTGAATGAGCCATTGTAGACACTTGAAGGTTTGTTTGTTGTTGTTTTATAACACATTATTGTGGAAAAAATGCAAGAGGGTGTCTTTGGACAATATCAATGACATCTCATTTCGATCATTAAAATAGTATATAAAGCCTGGCACCAGTGGCTCACATCTGTAATCTTAGCTACTCAGGAGGAAGAAATCAGGAGGTTCAAAGCCAACCCAGGGAAATAGTTTGAGAGACACTATCTCAAAAATACCCAGCATGAGAGCACCTGCCTAGAATGCATGAAGTCCTGAGTTCAAACTGCAGTCACCAAAAAATTAGAGTATGAACCAAAAAAATAATTGCCCTCTTCACCACTGAGCCTCCTGTCATGCAGTTTAGTAGATGGCTGTAGGGTTTTTCTTTCTTTGGTAATACCAAGGTTAAATGTGAAGAAACTCCAAATAGAGAGGGCGGGTATATCCCTGGGAATCGTTTACAGATACCTGATGCCTCACTGAGGAGAACAGTACAAGTCCTATGTCAAGCCCTTAAAAAAGAAAGAAACAAAGAAATCAACCACTGAGAACAAATAACTGATGTCAGCAGCTACCACAAAAACTCATGTAATTTGGGGTGGATTTTTATTCTCATGAATTAAAAAGCTTTCAGAAGACCATGATTGCTGGTGGGAAAATGATTGACAATGCAAAGGTAACTCCTGCCTCTTACAGTCCAGAGTTTTAATACCAAGCTTTAATTAAGTCAGATCACTTGACAAACACAGTATAATGTCAGCTGCCTATGACAGACAAATGAAACCTCAGTAATGAGTTGATGGTTAATGAAGATGAAGGACTCTGAGCTAGCCTGGGGACCCTCTTTCATCTAGTAAAGAGAACTATTTGTCCACACTCTTAATGATTTTTTCACTCCTTCTTTTCCCCAGTTTGTAAAGGCTCCTCAGATTCACAAAGGTTAAACTCAAGCTGTTGCTTTATCTTGTTTTAATCTTCTTCATATCTATAGATATATATATATATAGATAGATAAATAGATAGATATTTGTATGTATGTATGTATATATTTGACAGTACTGGGGTTAGAACTTAGGGCCTTGTGTTTTTGCTAGGCAAGTGCTTCTACCACTTGAGCCATGCTCCCTAGACCTTTTTGCTTTACTTTACTTTCAGAAAGGGTCTCCAGTTTTTTTGTCTCTGCAGGCCTAGGACTGGGATCCTTCTACTTATGCTTCTCAATAGTTAGGATTACAGACATATACCACTATACCTGGCTTGTTTTTTGAGACAGGGTCTTGCTAACTTTCTGCCTTGACTATCCTCAAACTTCAGTCCTGCAATCTTCCACCTCCTGGTAGTTAGGGTTACAGACATGTACCTCCACATACAACCCTTCTCCTGGATATTTTTCAAACAGGAATTTCATGTTCCAATTTGACGTGCCCATTTAATGAGACAGTCAGCCCTTCATATTTACAGTTTCCCTGACAATGGATTCCACTGACTACTGATTGAAAATATTCAGGGAAAAAACATACCTGTATTGCACAAGTTCATTTTTTTCTTTCATTATTCCATACACCACCCAATATAACACCTGTTCATGTAGCATATACATTGAGTTATGTAAATAATCTAGAGGTGATTTAAAGTTTGTGGAAGAGCGCATAGGTTATATGCAAACACTACGTCATTTTGTGTAAAAGACTTGAGCAGTTAAGGATTTTGGTATCCCAAGGGGGTTTGGAGAGAGTCCTGGAACTAATTCCCAAGGGTGCTATGGGACAACTGACTATCTATGAAATATTAACAACTAACATTAGTGAGTTCCCCAGTCCTCATAAAACATAAGATATGCACCATTACAACCTCCTTTTTAAACGATGAAGAAATCAAAGTTTTCAGGGTCTCAATGACATACTTTGTCACAAAGCTAATAAGTGCCCTGCTCTAAAAGTCCTGCTTTCAACTATTGTAATAGGAAAGAATAAAAACTATGAAAATTGGAGTTTGGCCCTGGTCACAGGCTCTGTCCATAGACAAAAGGATGGAAGAAGGCCAAACGCAAACCAGTGCATCACCAAGCAAAATGTTTTTGGAGTTATTAGTATTGTTAGATTAAGAGCCAACCACACAACACAAACCTCCAGAGAGATGTAATGGAATTAGGAAGATTCCGAGAGGTCAGCATTAATAACTAAGGAGAAAGGAATGGCGCCTGAACAAGGAGAGGAAAAAGGTTAACATGCTTTACTTGGGAAGGATGAATGGTGAGTGGTAGTGGGATATCTGGAATACAGACTCCTAGAAACCTAATTAAATTACAGCTTTGCCCGTAATGTTCTTGTAAAATATGAGCATTAGCAATTCTAAAAATTACTATGCTTTGGGAGAGATACTCAGAAATATCTCTGTTTTTAAGGTTTGAGTTTTTTCACTTTGAGACAGTGTTTTGAGACTGTGTAGCACAGGCTGGTCACCAACTACAATCCTCCTGCCTCAACCTCCATAGTGCTGGGATTATAAGCACACCCCATTATACCTGGCCATGTTTGAATCTTTATAAATAAGAGAGGTGTATGTTTTAAGTTCTGAGTTTACATTGCAATCTTAGTGATCTTTTCAAAACACAAAGCTGATCGTGGGATGCTTTCTTGCATTAAAAGGGGTTCTCACTGTTTTATTACTGCTAAGAGTTTTAAAAATTCTTAGCATAGTCATTCAGGGAACTAGAGGTTTTTGTCCTTACTTGACTTCCTTTTGAATCACACTCTACCTTACTGGCCACTGTGGGAGTTTTGACACTTTCTCCGGTGCCCACACCTCAAAGACAGCTCCACTTTCTAGGGCTGGGTCAAGTCTCCACTTCCCCAGCCCTCCCTCCCAGCACCTCTTTTTCATACACACCTATTGCTTCCACCACCAGACTGTAAATTCTTAGCAGGCAGAGGCCCAATGTGCCCTGGATTTTCCTGATGATCCCAGCAACTGGACGAAGGTAAAAGTTCTGGGAATACAGAATCTGTGCTCAACTCTAGTTTGAGTATATTAGGGAGTCAGTAGTGGGGTTGGAGTTTTTATTGTTGCTTTATTGAAAATATGTGGGTGGGAAGAGTCGGGTATGTAAGCATAGACATGACTATGAAATCAATAACAATACGTTTTAAACTTTTAAGCAAAACTAAATTCTCCCATCTGTATTTAGACCTATCCAAATACAAATTCTGTCAGCTCCATTCCCTCACCTGTTTCATTGAACATACTCTCTTTTATTTTAAATTATGCAGCTTCTCTACAAGAGAAGGGATGCTTGTCTCTTGCTCGCTGCTCTACCACGCAGCCTAGAAAAGCGTTTAGCACATAGTAAATGCTCTTATATATTTATTGAATGAATTTATCTCAGTAGTTTTCCTTGCCCAGTGATAACACAGAGAACACCAATTTACTGCAAAGTAAATTTTCATGAAATTCTTGTCTGGATTTTTAAAAGACCTTTCTGTGGTTGTATTCCATTGTGCTCTTCAAAAGTAAGACTTCTTATGGTCTTAGGAGACTTCAAAGTCACTACCTCAGAATCACTTAGGGGCTTAAAAAAACGCAGATCCTCACACCAGAGATTCTAAATCTGCAGCCTGGGTCCTGGCCTCTAACAGTTCCAAGAGCTGCGTTGAACTATGGTCCAAAGGCCAGTTTAAAAACCGCTGGCTGTGACCGTGCACACAGCAGACTTAACGCGTGCTGGATAAAAGCTCGTTTCCTCTGCAGCAGCGTTTATTACCTACCTGGCTGGAAACCCCTGCGGGCTTTAGCAAAGAGTAGTGAATGTCCCAAAGACAGGTACTTTTGTCTCCCATTTTACAGATTAGGAGACAGTGATCCATCCCTACCTAACTACTCCTCCATTACCGCAGTATTTTTGCGATGCCTGCAGTAGAAGGAAAGGCAGAACCACTGGGGTAAAACGTGTTCTGAGCCACCAAGAAGAGGGAACGTGCGCCGCGTCCCAGTGTGCAACCAGGACATCTCCGCTGAGTAAATGCTTCGTGGCTTTCGCCTTTGCCCTGGAGGCCAGTATTTGGCGACTTTTAGGCGCTTCCCGCTGCAGACGTGGAGGCTGAGGCAAAACATTCCAGCGCGGGGAGGAAGTGCGGGGTGGGGGCGAGGAGCCGGTGGGCGTGGCGATGAGTGGCGGGCGTGGCCGAGGAGGGGCGGAGCCTAAGGACGCCTTGCTGCCGATGCGGGCGACCCCCTGGGCGAGGAGGAGGCGCGGGGCGGGGCCGGAGGACGGCCCACGACCCCGGCGCGCGAGGAGGCTGCTCCTCCAGGTCGGGATCCACCCCTCGGGGCGGGCCCAGCGGGAGGGCGCGGCGGCGGGGTGCGGGGAGGCAGTGCGCTGCGGCCGCCTTGGAGAGCGCGCTCCGTTCCAATCCCTGGCCATGGCCGAGCTTCCTGGCAGCAGGACCAGCCGTCCCCTGGCTCCTCGCCCCGCTCCCTGAGCGCTCTGTCTTCTCGACCTCGATAAAACCCCTTGTTCTTTCTGGAGCTGTGGTGAAGGTCTGGCAGTGGCGAGCAAGGATGCGCTGAGGACCACGAGGGCGCGTGTCCCGGGGGCCACCGTGGGTCCCAGCGCTGGATCCGAGCTGCCTCGATTTCCCCCTCCGCGCGCCTGCAGCCCTGCGCCGCACTTGATGTGCAAGGACCAGCCGGACATCATGATCCTAACACGTAAGCCTGAGGTCGGGCCAGCCAGGGGTCGGTTGCGGAGGGGACCCGCGGCGGCGAAGTGTCACTCTGCCTTGCCAAGTCGGTGCCCGGCGTTCAGAGCCTTTGAAACACGTGCTAAGGAGTCGCCGGAGTTTCTTGGAAGTGTGTGGGGGGGGGAATGGGGGGGAGGTGTGAATGAAGAAAGCAAGGATCAGGGATTGGGGAGGGAGTTTGAATTTCGGGTAATGTCGCTTGGCCACGCATTGCCAGGGTGGTCTTGAAGGGGCAGCGGGCCGGACTGAGAGCGAAGGGCTTCTCATTCTAAATCCTAGAAACTGGGTTGATTGACCCCGCGGGGCGCGGCGTGACCCCCTTTCTACTTTCTGTAGGAGGGCGATCTGGGGTCGGAGGTTGCAGTGTGTCCTTCACCCTACGTGTCCCAAATCAGCGTTGACACCGGAGAGTGTGTTATTTACGGGACGTTGTAGACTCTAGTGGCACTTGGAAATGTTTTTCTGAACGCTGTTCGAGTATATTCATCAAAACTGTGTTTTAATTTGAAGTCTTTCTTCCTCACTTGTCTCGCGAAAGTCTGAGTTTGGTGCCTGGTGAGGGTTGAAGGGGTAGTGATCCCCCAAACCTGCGTGGGGAATTCCTGCTGGATGGCCGCGCTTTCCCGCCTCGTGCTGGGTCCACATGCCCACGCCCTTGGCGCCCGCCAACCTAGTTCATGGGTCACGGAAAGGAAGGAAGCACGCCGCCCGACACGAGTTTGTTTTTTTTGTTGTTGTTGTTTTTTAATCGAGGCAACAGCCTCTTGGAACTGCGCCCTACTCCGTGCCCTTGTCCCCACCTCCAACATCAGGCCAAGCCTTTGATCTTTTGAGTTACTCCCAGACGCAGCAAACCCACCCTGCGCGTGAAATTTACTGCGTCTTGGCCTGGCCACTACTGGGAGCGGTGTGTGTTGGGGAGCGGGGGTGTCGGAATCCTGGGTTTTGCAGCCTTCGGATAGGTGACCCTGGGAAATGACACAACTTCCCTGTGCCTCTGCCATCTGCAACTGCGGAGATCTCCATTGACAAAGGTGAAGAGTGTGAGGATCAATTTATGCTAATGATTGTAGAAGGAAACCCTGCGTGAAGTCACTAATCTGCATTGTGGAGTAGAGAAACGGTCCTAATATCCTCCGACCTCCATCCCCAGTCTTGCCATGAGTGAGTCTTTTTACACCCAACATGGTCACAAGTGGATCCATTCTTAGGAGTCCGTGGTGTTTTCAAGCTGTGGGTGGTGATTCAGAGGAATCACTATTACCAAAAGATTCATGAGGGTGGCATATCTGACGCATCTGGATAGAAAATAAATAACTCTGGAGAAGCAAGGATACCAAGTCTCAAATTACATTTTTTTTTTCCTTCCAAAATTCTGTTTGCTGAGGGAATGAAGAAAAATAATAGCCCAGCAGATTGCAGGGCCCGGAATGTAAATCTGTCCTCAGCTCCAAGAGGTTGACTAATTCAGCATCCATCTGGGCTGCAGGCTGGTCCTCCACAGAGATAATTTGCAGACCATAGGATGGAATTACTAGAGGCACTCAGTGCCACCTTGGCATCCCATTGCAGCAGATGGTCGGGGTGGGGGGGTTCCTTCAAGGCAACAGCCCCCCAATAGATGAACTAAAGTCCTGAGGAATGAGTGTCAAATGGGTAGCAGATGTGTGATCAGAAATTATTTCAAGAACATTTTCTGAGAAAATGCTGGCAATTGCCTTACAATTATTGTGGCATGCCAGATTTACAGCATGGTCCAAGCCTGGTGCAATAACTTTTTCATTAGCACTACTGTTCAGAGAAATTAAAATGAAGCACAACAGACTGACTTTCTCTCCCAGCTGTTTTTCCAGGTTTGCTTTTGACAAAACCTGATTTTATTTTAGTTCAAGCTGAATAGCACCTTGCACTGAACAGGCTGGAAGCTTCAGAATGGGACTGACTTGTTTTCTCCACTCTGCAGAATTCAAACTAAATAGATTTCAATTTAAATATTAAACCCTTAAAGAGTGACAGGAAATTAACTATTGATAATTGAAGGCTGTGTTTCAAATTTTAATATGCTGGGCCAAAGGATTTTTCTGTTGTACTGGAGAGAAGTCAAGAGCCAGTTTGCCTTTCACCCTAAAGCCTTTGTTTATTTGTTGTTCTGTATGTAGTTCAAAGAACAAAGACCAAGCAAAATTTAAGAGAGTTTTTTTACATTAAAAGAGGTGTCTCGGAAATATACCAGATTCTGGAAAATATACCAGATTGATAGACAGTTATATAAGATTAAGTAAGTTAGTAGTGTGAAGGGAGTTTAAAAATGTACATAACATTCAAACTCTTATTTGCAGAACTAGTACCGGGCTTAAAGGGATAAGAGAGGCTTGGGTGAGAGATGCCTTCCAATCTAAGGCTTGGTGAGATTCCAAGAGGTGGTTTCAAATACAAAAATAAGTACTTGGGTTTCCCTGGGTGTCCCCATGGAGATTCTGAGCCATGATGAAATGTTTAAATGAGAGTGGTATTTTTATGACTTAGGCAAGTAAATAGCAATTTGAGAATATTCAGGGAAGGGCGATTTGGTCTGAAAGAGTGGGGCATCCAAAGTACAGTGAGTGAAGGGAATCCGACTCTTTTGAAGAGAGCCTTGTTCTGGACAGGATGGTCCAGTATTGTAAACAGGAGTTTCTCATGCTTAACTCTCCTTCCTAGCAACAGGAAGACGGAAATGAGGCCATGAAAAAAAAAAAAAAAAGATCCTGAAGGGCTCCAGACAATACTTGATCCACCCTACTATTCACCCTGTACAGCCAGAAGACCTGTAAAAGTAAAAATAACTTCAGATGCTTCCCCTTCCTCTCTGGATATTACCAAATCAGTAAAGACTGAAATCTCAGTGCTTTGGAACATCATAGCAAAACCTGGCCCCATGGGGTGACTGGCGTCCAGACTTACACTATGCCAAGCCTGTGATTATAAAGCCAACCTGGGGAGAAGGGTGGTTTTCATTTTTAATATTTGCATGGTTTAGTGAGTCCAGTGGCATGAGTTGGAAACCAGTGGCAGAGAGAGTGTTGGTTTAACTTCTAAATTTAGTTGTATCTCCTAGTCTTTCACAATGCTCATTTTTATCAGGATCCTAGTATGGAGTTTGAGGACTTTAATGCAAAGGTGTGATGGATGCAGCATTTAAGGCATTAAAAAAAAAAAGTACCCTTCTTATAGCAGTCAAGGCCAAGTTATAATGCCCATCTGCAAAGTGCTAATGACTACTGTGTCCTAAAAAGTACAGCACGAAGTTCTTCGTTTTCCAGGGCTGTGAAATTAGAAGGAAAATGCTTTTCTGGTACAGATTTTCACAGCTGTCTGTTTCTGACTCTGGAGCCTTTCCATGGGAAGGAATGCAGACTTTAGTATCATTCCTCTGTTAAGGCACAGTATTGTGAGGTAAAAGTACGTTTTTCAGGATTGTTTTTCTCTGGTAAATGAGTGCAATCAGTGGTGGTTTCTTTTAATTTCAAATTACAACAGTCCCCCTTTATCTTTGGGGGATACATTTCAAGATCCTCCACTTTCTCCATGAATGCCTGAAACCATATTCTTATATGCACCATGTTTTCTCTTTGCATACATGCCTCTGATGAAGTTTAACTTATCAACTAGGTACAGTAAAGATTAACAACAACAATATAGAATTGAAAAATTATAACTTTACTATAATAAAAATTATATAAGACTTATGAATTGTTAATTTTTGGAATTATTTTCAGATCTCAACTGACCTGCTCAGAGTCCCTCCTACAGTCAGAGATTCAGATATTGTGAAAGGGGTGAGATTCCAGCTGAGAAGCGCTCATTCTGTAGGTCAGCACTTTTCTCTTAGGTGGTGAGCCCTATATTATCATTAAGGATTATCAGGATCAATGATAAAGTGTCCTGGGAGTCTTGCTGCTGACTTTTAATTAGGTATTTCTTTGTTGCCATTACAATTAGTAGTAGACAGGAAGAAAGCCCTATGTATTTAGTCTATATATTTTTATAGACCCTCTTACACAACAGTCAGACTTTTCAGGAATGGCCCCCACAGAGCCTCACAATTATTTTGCCTGGGGCTGTAATGTGAGGGTCCAAGAATGACACATTTGTGGGTTTTGCCTTTTGTCTTTGTGGCCTAGTTAATGGAGACATGAGCATCTGTCTTTAACCTTTGGCAAAGGCTTCCAAGATAGCATTTTCTGGAAGCTTAGCCTATATTGACTGTAATAAGAAATTCTTTTTTAACAAAAGCATTTTTGCCAGGTATCCCTGGAGATAATTTGTATGGCATCTTAAAAAATACCTGCCTACTAGGAAAAAAAAGTTGTAGGGCACTACAGGTAAAGTGTTACGCCTTGCTGAAGTCAAGTCACAGTGGAAATCACTTTTTCTTCATCATGTACCTGTGGTTTTTGTTCTGCTACTAGACTTAGCTTCCTAGTGGACAGGGTCCCTTTCTCCCCTTCACTCCTGCCCCTACTTAGTGGCCTTTTCTTGTCGGGGGGGCCCCCCCCCCGGCCCCCAGGGGAAAAATCAAAGCTAATTGAAGACTGAGGTCAGTGGAGCCAGTCCTCAGATGCCTTTGACACCTCCCATCCACATTTTGTTCTCTGGCCTGCCCCACCTTTGAGTGTCCTGCAGAGAGGACTGGAGGTCGCTTCCTGACTCTTGTTAGAGAGGCGCCTTCCTTCTCCTGCAGGAGCCTCCAAAGGATGTCCAAGGGACAAAAGTTTTCCATACCCTGAGGTTGTAGCATTTCCCAGGGTCGAAGTTCTTAGGAAGCCAGAGAGGAAGAGACATGGCTTTGCTGCAGCCATGCTGCACCACTTGTTATGCTTAGTGACAAAAGAGAACATTTGAAATCATCCTTTCTTCCTGAGTCTGGAGCAACAGGGGCCACCTAAGACATCCAATGCACATACAATTCCTTCTTTCAAACTATAT